TGCTGAAGTATGGTCTACGCCTTGGTGAGCTTCTAACACAGGGGAGATTTGGAAGGGGAAAAAAAGGGAAATATCTGTAAGAAAGACTCAAGAATGAATAGAGACATCACCTCTTCCTCTCTCCATGTATCCTTCCCATCACTGACTTGGGCTTTCAATAGTCTAACCTTGGACAAAACAAGAAGACCAATCTGAGTGATAATGTGAATGTAAACTTGTTGCCTCAGCTCGATTATATTGCTCTATCCCTGATACTGCTGTCGGGCACTTGCTTCAAATGTTATCACCCTATTAAATGGCTGTTTAGTTTGTCATTGAGACCACAGATATGGGTTAGAACCATGCTCCACTTTCTAGTCAGCTCAGGAACCTGTTATCATGTGCCAGAGCTGTCACCATGGTTATAATGAAGAATTCTGAGCAACAACATTTGTTATTGGTGTGAGATGGGAAAAACAACTGTTTCCTGTGTAAAAGTCCTGCATACTGTCGCCCACCCATCCACCCTCCCTATGTGGGCTTTACTGTACTTTTTTCCATCTCACCAATGGTGACTTTTGCTCCAGTCATAATTATTAGAGGTTGGTTAATTATAACATGCATCAATACCCTTCTAGTCAACAGGTAGGTGCAGTGTGCCACTTCACAAGCATATTTATAGGTGTGATGCCAACTGAACAGCCATTTAATGGGATGATAACATTCAAAATAGTTGTGTCGACGGCTGCACAATGTTTTGAAGGATTGACATGAAGCAGAAAGAAGACACAGCAGGTGTTTGTGTTGCCTTTGACCCAATGTATCATTCAACAATATACATCTGAAGGGCTGGAGTTTTCCCATGCTGCTCTTACTGATCCAGTTGCTCAATTCACTGTGAATGTCCAAATACCCGAAAACAAAATTCTATGTATGTATTCTTTGACTGATGTACTAAGAGCAGGATGTTTTGGAATCATTCCATGTATGTATTTAAGATGACACCTCTGATGTCAATCCACTGCTTCAAATTTTGATAAAATCAATGAGGAATTAAGCAAAAGTTTGACTTAAAGGGTCAACACTTAAAATAAAATTGTTATGTCCATAGCTGTAAGGATGTATTTTATGCTACATGCTAGGTTTATGCTTTCCAAAGAGCTTCGTGCTCTGATGTGTAATTCCAAAAGTTCATGTTGTATATGAAAAACATTGTGCCAAATTAAAAAGCCAATTAGGGCAAATGAAAAGAAATGTGATAAGACTAGAATGTGCCTGCAGTATCAGCATTTACAGGATAAGGAACTGTCAGGCCATATCTTTATTTTCACTTTGTTCAGCACACATATGAGTTTGGCACAATATTTTTGGGTGAAAAAAAAAACAAACCCTACTTAGCTCTGCTATATGTTTTTAGTGTGCCGGAAGCACCCTATTATTGTTTCCAGTGAGGATTACTCTTACTCATCTGCATCTATACTATAGTCACTTTAGCACAGCCGTGTTTTTCGAAACCACGTTAGAATATAGAAATCTCATGTACACAAAGCTGTTAAAAACAACAAACTAGTGATGTAATATGATTCATGAGATACGGTATCAGTGAGTGTCATTCAGTGTATGTGATAACAGTGAGTGAGAAACAAATGGCATATGAGACAACAATGACTCTGTGACAATGTTTCAGTTATTTAAGAAGTGTAAAGCCAGAGAAGTCATCTCCATACATCTCCAAGCATATACTGTATCACTGTTTTAATAAGGGACAGATGTAAGATGTTAATGTTGCTGATGACTAAGACTTGTAAACAGTTAAGCCTTTTGTTCCTATGTTAACAAATCCAGTGAAAGACCAACACCAACCTGCTACTTTATCTGTAAACCTTTTAAAACATTTATGGCAGTCAGCCCTAATTCTAGGTGTAATTCTTTAGGAATGGGTCTATTAAGTGTATAGTTTCATGTTTACAAAGGCTCAGTAGTTGCCTAAAACACCTGGGCACAGCAGAGTCTAGCCAATGTTTCTCAAAGAAGAGAAGATAGTGCTCTTCTTGGGGACTATTTTCAGCAGTGGATTAAGACACATTTGCCACAGCAGTGAATATATACAGCAGCAACACAGTATGTAGGACTGATTCAGAACAAACTACAGTGCCCTTGTTGATCACCATGAAGGAACGTGTCACCAGGTGCAACAGTGTGGCTCACTGATGTGCTAAATGATGTAATAAATGATGGGCAGCAGCGCTATGGAACAGAGGAATAAGGAGACAGTCCCCCTAAAAAAGAATGAAAGCAATGGTGATTTCTGCACATGCCCTAAAATAACATATGTATACATTCAGTTCATGAAGCCTACTAGCAGCCATAGCCATTCTGTTAGGAGCAAAGGAGGTAATCAGTGTTATATAGTCCACATAGAAACAAATTCAGGGTGGATGGAATAGTCAACAAAACAACGGGCTTTAATATGAGAGTCTGCTGTTTGTTTCCCATTTCCTGTTTTGTTGTTTGTTTTTTTATAAAGCATGCCCAAAATCATTCCCTAAACAGGTTTTTATTATTTTAAGTATGATGACCTTAAAAAGTCCTTATATTAACCCATACCATAAACTAACCAAGCCTTAGTTATAATGTTATTGTATGATCAACAGTTATTGGTGATGATTTTTAAAAGGAAAAGAGAAATGTTCTGTCTTGTGACAGAGGCATCCAATCAGAAAACACTTTTGTTATTCTAGAGGCTATGGGCTACAACATAATATTGTTTAATTTGGATGAAATGTTGTAAATAATCAGCATATGGGTTTGACTAAATATGAAATACTATAGTTAATATAGTATAATTTAATGGGGCTATTGACAAATAGAAAAATATAGAGATTCATCATAGTTATCCTTCAAATCAGATTTAAATTCCCTATAAAAATGATATTCCTCAAGGACTGAACAATCCTACTGTAATCTTTACAGGCTGATTCATAGAGAGCATAAAACACAGTATGCTTTGTACTTTGAGAATCTTAATTTTGTCTTATTAAATAAAAATATTATGTAGTAGCTTCACTGTAGATCTTCAAGTTAAAAAAAAAACCATTTTGTTCCCTAATGCTGCTGTTACAGTAGTTGTTCTGTATCAGTGTAGAAGCATATCTGTTGGTGACAAAACCTTCTTGGTCCCTGAGAAATTAAATACTCTGTTAGAATTTCACCAAATTCACACGCACACACACACACACACACACTCACACACACTTCTTGTGTCGATCAGTCCTTTTACTGTATTTAACTAATGAGGGGTTCAGACGGAGCAGCTCAAACTGGCTGTGAGTGATTTGAACTTCTGATTTGAATTTTTATACATTTACTTGACTGAAGTAAGTTTAACTTTCTCTTTCATACAGTAGACAGTACATGTTGTGTCAAATGATGTTGCGATCAAAGTATCACAGGACGAGAGCTCAAAACTCTGTCCATGTGTGTGATGAGTCTGGACAATCACTATTAAAGCACAGCAACACGGGGAAAGGAGGAGAAATACAGTTTAGCTGAAGGTCATTATGTAGTTGCTCTGGACAAGGCATTTTAGAAAACTGTATTTAAGTATATTTATTTGTAACTGTCTTTTATACATTTATCATCAATGTATGCTACAGTAAATTTGGTGGATTACTTTATATTTATTAGGTTACATGATGTACAGTTAATAAATAGCAATTCACATCCGTATTCTAATAAAACAGTAATGCCAAAATTATCATCTCCAAGTTTCTTATTTTCTGTGTGCTCAGGTTTTTGGCCACCTGTGAGGTGCTGTACTCATGTAGAGGAGAGAGAAGAAAACCATAACAGTGGAGGATGAGGGGAATTTATAAGCAAGGATGTGGAGTGGTGCACAGAACACAAAGTGCCACATTGAAGCTGTTGAAAAACAGCTGTATATAGAAGTAGTTTCAAGGACAGTCACATAACCTCTTAAAAGGCACCAAAATAACTGAATTCCAGGAAAATGCCTTGGAGAGGCAGCTTTGAGAGGATGATGTACCCCCAGAATGTTTACATATCAAATTATAGGGCACTGGGTCCCCATTAGATTGCATAACAAAATTAAATTGACAGATTTAATCTTCACAGCAAGAGACCACTGATGAAAATGTCACTACAACTAATAATAAAGCAGCTGTGTTTTTAAACATTTCTGATGTTTTCTCTCAACATCCTTGTTGTTCTTGTATTTTTTATTTTATTAAATTTTTCAGAAGACGCCGAGTCTGTCTCTAAGCTTGCTCTGGGACTTATTTGTAAGGTCTGTAAAGGTGTTCCAGGTTATCACTTGTCTAAATAATGATTCAGACAGAGCAACAAGGTTTCAAACTGGCGTTTTCCCCTCTGTTTGAAAAGGACATATAATTCCCCGCTGTCACCATGGAAACTAAATTGTATTAGAAATTCCTGTTGACTCACTCTGAGAGTCTCACTCAAAACACAGAAAAATCTGATTCAAGTTGGCTCACATGCCTGGCAGCACTGCTTTCTCGACAAAGCTTTTCATTTATATTACATCCAGTATACATTTCACAGCTTTGTGCATCTAGTCATGATGACCACAGCCCCAGTGCTTAAGCATGACACCTGCTTATCCCAAGATTCAGACACACACACACAGCAACATACAGTACATACACACACAATTGCTCGCTCACTCACAACACATGCATCTGTTTCTCGTTCTGTCTCATCCCACGGTTCACACTCTTTAACAATCATCATCCCCGCCTTTTTCAGCAACCTCCATCACAATAATTGTCTCAACTCCTTTCCCCTCTCTCCTACGTCTGTGCTCTCAGAGAGATGTTGCCATGGAAACTGGCTACAACTGATGGGGCTGAAACGTCACAACTGGCATGCATAATTGGTAAGTGCATGCACACGCAGAGGCCCATGCACACACACAAGGACACATATTTTTCTTATTCATTATTATGCCAGGCCTTCTGGGATGTTGCATGTTATTATGGTGGCACTGGCATGCATACATAGGAAAACCATAAGGATAAAAATTAAGGTCATGTACTTGATAAGTAAACATCTAATCAAAGTTTCATGTTAGGTTTTATTGGCAGAATACTATTAAGAATGGCAAGTAGACAGGATATATTGAGACATGGTAGCATAAGTAAAATTGAATTAAAATTAAAATTTAAAAAAAGAAATTTAATTGAAAAGGAAAATGAGTGAGAATTTTTTTTGGCCTATTTGGTCTGCACACTCACATTCCTGCCAAACACTAAACTGTGTTTAATCATTTTATACAGACTCTCATGTGGCAGTTTTCACCTGAGGGCAGAGAAAGGAAAAATTTAACTCACCACCTTATTCACAAACTCATTTTTAGATGTGTAATTTCCATTCTGTCATTACATAATGAAGATGTTGCGTTGGATTTATTTCCATCCTAAGACTGAAAAAGGAGCAGATGTGCTTTTATAACAGTGACTCTTTATGTCCAAGAATGTGTCAAACCTGTTCACGCTTGTGTTTTTATTTGGACTGTGGCTTGTCTGTCCAGACAGAGACTTGGCCATGACTCACTGTGATTGTCAGTGGCTCTCTCATTTAAAAGAATATCCATGCTTTCTTCTGTAACTACAGTAAATACACAGCTATTTTTCAACTTATGCTGCAATTTATTTAAAATATCAGGATATTTCATTCATTAATTAGAAATTTTCCCATCCTTGAACAACCACCTTATTGTGGTGGAAGGATTTGAGTACC